AAGTTATCAATCATTTTCCTGATCCAACATCAGCCACAAATACGAATTACGGTTCAGCACTGCCAGCAGCAGCAGCAACTGGCAGCACTAGACATTACAAGGAAGTATGAACACTGATCGATGCCATCAGTGACCAATATATGGACAAGTGCCTACGGTGATACTAGATTGCAGTTTCATCTACCAAGATGACCCAAAAGAAATACTGAATGTTCAAGGGAGTGCTATATATCAATCTTTTTTATCTGACCAAATGATTAAGCTAGCAGCAGCATTGGTAAGCACAGCGCATCACAAAGGAACCACTTTCGCATCGTCTTTAATAAAATCATGAACACTGGTTATGATGACACCAGTCACCACTATTATGCGGTTGAGCGCACGGTGATACTGATGATATTATCGCAGATTTGTCTGACCAGATGCCGCGGAGGAAATTTCAAAGGGGGAAGAGGAGAATGTGTTTCTTACAGGGCCGTAGGATCTCGAGTCCCAGCTGGCGGTGCCATTGTCCCCTTCCACCCAGCAGTGGCCCTCCGGGATCTGCCGGACCTCCTCCTTGTCCGGGACGCTGATCCAGTCGCCGGGCAGCCCAATCAGCCTCTTGATCGTCCTGCTCCGGTGGTCCGCCGGCGACCTGCAAACACACATACATACAGCAGCATCAGAGAACCACCCGTGAAGATTCAGTATCGAAATCACAGGATTCAGAAAAGCATGAGCGAGGTTTCTTACACGAAGACGACGACCTCGCCGCGGGAGTAGTCGTAGAGGGGGCTCCGCTTCACCACCGCGTACTCGCGTCCGTCTGCCAGCGTCACTCCGGTGGTCAGAAATCGATTAGGAATCCGGTCCGGTCCGGTGGTGGGTTGTGTGTGCGTGTGGACGGGGAGGGGAGGGGAGGGGGGAGGGGGGGGCTTACCTGTGGTGCCGTCGAAGGTGGGGCGCATGGAGCCGCCGTGGACGGCGGCGACGGAGAAGTAGCGGTCGGAGACGGTGATGCCGATGAGGGAGCCGCCGATGCAGGCCTTCACCACCGGCCTCAGCGCCGCCCACGCCATGCCCGGAGCGAGCCCGCCCTCCATCCCTCCCTCCCACGCCGCTGAGGCGCGGCTGCTCGCCGTCAAGGGTGAGGAGGCGACGGCGGCGGCGGGGTCGGAGCGGCGAGGAGTACGGAGCAGTAGTATTCTGCAGCAAGGAAAAAACCCCAACTTTATTTCTTGTCTTTGTCTTTTCCTTTTTTTTTCCTTTATTCATTTATTTACCGAGTTTCTTACAACTCTTTCGTGTAGAACAATTTTTTAAGGGGCAGGCTTTATCACCTTTTTACACTTTCCTAATAATAACGTACTCTAATTTATAAAATTCCCCAAAAAGTTAACATTTGTCCAATAATGCGTCTTTGACTTAATTTTTTTTTAAATTTTTAACGAAGGTTCTTCGGAAATACAAAGCATCCCAGACATAATAAAAATTACATTGATAGCTATGTATCATGAACGACAATTGACGCCGCCAAAATGAGCCGTTGTCGACACTCTCATACTAGAGTCGGTCTGACCTTATCAATAACATCCAGGAAGCCCCTAAGGACCAGCAGTCGTCGTGGTAGAACCTTTGAATCGTTTTGAAGAATCTGACATCAAATCTTGTCGGCATGTACGCACGACGAGAACCTAACTTTATCGCCCCGAGGACCTGGCAAGAATCTATTCTTTCTGACAAACAAACTTGAGGAGGATCGGAACCCAAAAGACTGACTCAAAGAAGAAGTGTTGCCAGCCGTTCGAGCGTCACCGCAACAAGAACTACTATCTATACTACCGAAGCCAAGGCACCAGGATTCCCCTTCCCGCCATTGGCTATCAGAGTGGATGTAGAGGGGAGTTGATCCATGAACTCGTTGGTGAAGATCATGGGGTCCTAGTCGCCTTTGAGTTGAAAAGAAAAATACTTGTAATAAATCTCAACAAAAACCCTTCTTAGCGTGTACACATGTCCCGGGTGTATCGGTTTTCGACCAACTTTCCTCATAAACAAGCAACTCTCGTTTTTTTATTGAAAAGTCAAAGCTCCTACCGAATGCTCGGAAAAAGTTTCACGCTCTTCTTTTCATGTATAGTTGACTTAAGACATTTTATTGTACATATCATTTTAGGGTCTACCATATATGACTCTGAGAGGTAAAAATATAAAAGTAAATGTAGCAACGCGGCATGTTGGGTAAATTAGGGCAACTCCACGATGCGCTCCCTTGAAGGTGGCGACGCAGATGTATCGGGTAGATGGGCGGCGTGGACCAGACTTTGTCCCAATCCAGGCATGATTTGGATCATGGGGCTGCAGTTGCGGCTATATTTAGTAATTGAAAAGTCAAAGCTCCTACCGACTGCTCGGGAAAAAAAGTTTGCGCTCTTAGAGTTTTAGGGCCGACTATATATATATAACCCTGAGAGGTAAAATATGAAACTAAATGTAACAACACAACATGTTGAGTAAATTAGGGAAACTCCGCGATGGGCTCCCCTGAAGGTGGCAATGTAGATGAACCCGGGAGGTGGGCGGTGCGGACCAGATTTTGTCCCAATCTGGGCATGGTCTGGATCACGTGGTCGCTCCTGTTGTGTGGTTGTCCGCCTGCAGTTGGTGTGGTAGCTGCCGATGGCATTGGCGGCCATGACTATGCAGATGGAGGATGATGACTCAGCGCCACGTGTTCGCGGTCATGCCGGGATGGAAGATGGGTTGTGTGTTTTCATTTGTGCGGGCTATTGGTGGTCCATGTCATTCTAGCTATGACGGCGGCGGCGGCATTATCGATGCTGGGAGCATCGTTTACGGAGACATGGCTTGGAGGTCCAGTGTTGCATTTCCTTTGGTGCTCGTTGCTGCCCTAGCTAGGTTGATTTTCAGTTGGCGCTACGTACGCCATCGTTGGTAGAGCGTATAAGACAATGCATTCCTCGAGACCGGCCAAGCCCCGTCGGACCTCTCTAGGCACTCATGGGGTGGATGGTGCGTTGGTTAGGAGGGGAGTCAAATGGTGTGTTGGTAGCTTTGTCTTTTGGTTTTAGGGTAGACACCTTGTGCTGGTTGTAGTGTGTGTGATGGATTTTCTCCGGACTTGCTCTAGCATGGAGTTTATACTACGCTTGTTTGTTTGAGATGAGGGTAGGTTTTTTTCTATCATTTGTTTCTACCTTGTATAAAAATATGGTACGGCGGCCAGGCCTACTATCTCTCTCTCTCTAGGGAAAGAAGAGGGAGGGATTGATTGGATTCTATTTCATGGTGACCTACTTACATGTGGGTGGTTATAGGGAGGGATGGGCGATGTGCTGGTAGTGTGGGCCCGGGACGTCAGCCAGGTACGTACAACGCAGCTAGCTTCCTTCCCCACCCTCTTGTCGTCGGGGTGATGCATCGGCAAAGAATCTGACACCAAATCTAGTCGTCGTGTACGCACGACGAGAACCTAACTTCGTTGCCCTGAGGACCTGGCAAGAATCTATTCATTCCGACGGACGAAATTGAGGACGGTCGAAACATCCAGGATTGACTATATATCACTTAGGGAGGTACAAAATATGAGAGTAAATGTAACAAAACGCCATGATATGGTACTCTCGGGAAAAAAAAAAAGAAAAAAGAAGTAGGGGTTGATTGGATTCTATTTGTTGGTGACCTACTTACATGTGGGGGCCCCCTGGTGGGTGGTTATTATAGGGGAGGGGGGTGTGGGTCCATGGGGACATCCTGGTGTGGGCCCGAGACGTCAGCCTCGTACGTACAGCGCAGTTGGCTTCCTTCCCCACCCATCTCTCTCTCTCTCTCTCTCTGCTCTGCTCTTGTGATTGAGAGAGAGAAAAGAAAAAAAAGATGGCAGTTTGATCTCATCTCCTCCTCCTCCTCCTCCACCGCCGCACGCCACCCCCATCCCCATCCCCACCGGAGCCGACTGCGGCGGAGCGGAGCGCACCGGAGATCTTCCTTCTTTCCTTGTCGGTAAGGTAAGCCCTCGGTCGGATCGGATCGACCCCCCTCCTTCTCCTCCATCTCCTCTGGTGTGGTCTGGTTGTGCTTGTGCGCCGCGGATGGATCTGATCCACACACCCACCCACCCACGTCTCCTCCGCGACCAAGAAAGAAATCCCTTCCTTCCTTCATTCCTTCCTTCCCTGAGTATGTATGTATGATTGATTGATTGATTCGGATGTGCTGAGGTCCGTCGTAGCCTGATGCAATAACTATGTGCCATTCTTTCTTTCTTTCTTTCTTTCTTTTCTCCTCCCTCCCTGAGTCCCTCTGTATGTATCTATCTATCTATCTATGTCCGCTCTCTGGTTTGGTTTGCTAAGAGTCATAGATGATGAGGGGAGGGGATTCATACAAAGTCTTAGTCTTTTTTACTTATCTGTTTCTTTCTACTCCCTCCCTTCTAAAATAGATAAAAGCTTTGTTTGGGGAAAGAAATGGATATCTCTGTTTGCTTGATACAATAGATTATTAATCCCTGCTTTCCTTTTTCTTTTCTGCCTACTCATGCCTCTGCCTCTGCCTCTGCCTCTGCTTGCCTGTCTCTCATGTTTACTTACATGATGATGATGATGATGATGATGATGATGATGATGATGATGATGCGGTCACCCATTCTCCCTCCCCACCTCTGCTCTGCTCTTGTACCACCCATCAAATTCCTCTTCTCTTTAACGATATGATGATGATGTTGCTCTTCCTACATTTTGGGTGGTTTGGATCAATGTATGCTCACTCTCATAGCCATGTCCTCCTTACCCTCTAATTAAATAGCCATGCTTTCTTTTACTGCACGTCACATATGAGCGGGCAGGGCTTGATTCACCCTACTTGCTGCTCTATCATGCAACTGACTGACTATCTGTCTGTCTGTCTGTATGACATTTACGTGATGCCGTCGATTATCCAACATTCTGTCCATTATGCTGAAGCTGCTCATCTGCAAATAACCAGGTTCTGTGGCCATGTCTGACAGCGAGAAAGAGGTGCCAGTGGAAGTGGAAGAAGGCGCCACCCGCGGGGCCGACTGGGAGGTCGTCACGCTCACCGCGTCCACCTACGCCGCCGCGCCCAGCGGGCCAGAAGGAGCAGCAGAGGGCAAGAGGCTCGGCGACGGCAACGACGGCCGCGCCTCGTCCACCACGCTGCTCATGTCGGACCACTTCGTGTTCCCCCCCAGCGAGCACGAGAACCTGCCCATAGAGACCGCCCTGCTCGACCCGCCTCAGGAGAGCACCAGCGTGGACGACGCCGGCTTCAAGAACGTCGGTGGGGGCTACGATGATGGGTCCGAGACGGTCAAGTACTATGACGAGGGGAAGAGCCTGTCGGTGCATGATGCCGAGATGATGATGGGTGACGTGGCTGAGTTCCACGCCCAAGATGACGGACGCGGTTACGTTGTCCATGATGATGATGATGACTCCCAGGACAAGTCTGATGCGCCTCTGGACAGCAGCAGCAGCAAGGGCCGTGGCGGCTCTGGTGCCCCCTGCCAGTGCTGGTTGAAGAAGCACATGTCATGCCTGTATGACCAGGCCAAGGAGACCAATCATCTCTGGGGTGCGGTTGTCGTGGCTGCCCTGGTTGGCCTTGTCATCTTGTGGCGCAAAGACAAGTTGCACATGAGCTGCCTTAAATGGCGCTCTCGCTCGGCAGTCAGGTATGTACACATTGAGCTATTGTCTCTTTTCAACTATGATTCATATTTCTATGGTCGACTCAATATTGTATTGCATGTTTTGGAAATAATATCCAGTCTATCTCTTTCTGTACTTAGCAGTGTACATTACAGTTGTTGAATATGGTCAGTAGTGTGCGTGTTAGTTGCTTGCTCTGTTGCTTTACTCTGTCCTCAGCACGTGCTCAGCTTACTGTTTCTTTCTGCAGTACTAGACAAATCCATTTTGTGCAGTAAGCTACTCTTTTCTGATTTTCCTTACTCAATTATGTGCCTGAAAACTCATTGAACTCCCTGTTACACCTCCTGATCTTTTATCATGGCCCTGCACCTCTCCCCACTGTTAGAACATCACGTGCACATGCTTCCTGAAATTACGTATGTGCATTGATATCTTTTCTTTGTTAATAAGTTAGTGGGGCGTAACTATTGATGGTATTTTAGAGATATAATGGGGCATGATTAAAATTGAGCAGTACAAGAATTGTTTGAATAGTTCATTAGTTATGAAATCGTGAGATGTCATGTTGGTTTTGATATGGATTATGTATTAAATATCCACACCAGCCACTGATTTTGCTTCATTTGGCATGAACTGTATGTACACTGCTAAATACTGATTATGTATTAAATAGTATAGATAACGAGTTGATTTTTTGCTGCTATTTTTATTGATGTTCATTATTGCATAAAGAACAGCAAATTGGATTTGAGTCAGATTTCACTTTGGCTTAGTATGAATTATGAAGTAGTGACTATTAAATATTCCAACCTATCATTTTAAGTATTGTCACTGATGTGCATATTACTGTTGCTTTGAGCAGTACTAGCAGTACCCCCTGTTACATCTCCTGGGCAGTTTATTCCTTTATCATGGCCCAGCATCTCCCCCAGTTAGCAGGGCGTAGTTTTTGTTTAAATGTTATAGAGGTGTTGTGTGGCATGTTTAAAATGAGCAGGAGAAGAACTGTTGGGATAGCTGACTACTTACGAAATTGTGACTTGTGAGATGCAGCTTTGGTTTCAGTATGAATTACGTATTAAATATTTTTCACACCACCCACTGATTTTGCTTCATTTAGCATGACCTTAGTATGGATAATGAGGTAACTTTTCAGTTGCTATTTTTACCCACGTTCAGTATTGCATAGCAGACAGCAAAAATCCATCCGTTTACAGCAAAGTAGGATTTGACCCAGATTTCGCTTTGGTTCAGTATGAACTACGAAACAGTGACTGTTAAATATTCACACCAATCACTGATTTTTCTGAACTTGGAACGAACTTAGTACGGATAATGAGATTTTCTTTTTGGTTGCTACCTTTTGAAGTTGGTATGGATACCATCCTTTTACAGTTTATTATATGGTACATAAAGTGGTATTCTTACCCATTTTTTATGATGTGAGTGGTTAGTCTGCGTAAAAGTGGTGGATGCTATTTCAGCACCTTAGATATCAAGATAGTTTACACCGGCAGTGTGCCAAGTTTCTCTCTTTTGCAACATTAGGATACCCAGTTCTCATCTCTATCTGATTCAACATGTTTGCTGTCACGTTTATATTTACAGTGGAATACTCCGTAATATCATTTCTTAAACTTGTATGCAGTCAGTAAATTGGTTCTTGTCATTAACATTGTGAACATATCATCGTCAGTATCATATGAGAACCTTCTTGTATTAACATTTTTGTATCTCATCATCATTTAGTTTGTTTACACGTCTTCTATGTGCGAAACATACAGTTCACCTAGGTTCTTAACCTGTAACAGCGTCCTAACTGTTCAGACTGTTTGCTTTAACAAGCTATCTAGTAAAAAGCTTGATAGTGATAGGTATATTACCTTCTTTCTCATGTTTCTATTATATTAGCGCACACTGATATTGTCTTGATGACAAAATATATATCAGAGACGATAATTCCTGATGTCCGCTGCCTTCTGTGAATCGTTATGTTTTTGTTGCTGACTGAGGTTCTGTTCTGTTGTTCAGTTAATGATCCAATCCGAATTCCTGGACTGGTGGGTCTGTTTGTGGTCTTCTTCGTCGATACAATCTCTGACGAGTCTTCGCAGATCGCCCTGGAAGTCATTATAACCAAGAAGAAGATGGCCATGCCAATATGATTCGTGACAATGACGAAAGGGGTCTCTAGTTGTAATAATATCAAGTTTGACAGGGTATTTTCTTGTTGCCAGGCTTCTGAGATGCCAAAGTTTCTTATCGCTCTTGTACCCATAGTCGTCGTACCTTTGCACTGTTTAATACGAACGGCGCGCCCTTTCAAGTTTCTACTACTACATTTTGATGACGAATGGCTGTTGGAATGTGCAACTGCATGATGTGAAATTCATGATAACCGTGTTTGTTGCCGTGCTTGTGAATGAATTCAGCTTTTTTTTTTTTTTTGAGAAAGTGAATGAATTCAGCTGGGAACCTATTTTGCTTTTGTGTTCTCAACAAAGCTGGGTTTCCTATTTTGCTTTTGCACTTGTTCACTTGTTGCTAATGCATTTCATACATTGCCAGTGTCTCGTTTTTTCTGCACGGATAGTTATCACGCGTAAATCTGGATACTTCACCAAAAATCCAAAGAAAATCAGTTATAAGCAAAATACATATTTGTTTGTCTTGTTTTGAGAAAAACTGTTAGGCCAAATCTCTTTTTAGGTTCAAAAAATCAGATACTATGTAATAATAACAGAAATAATATGCATACTTCTGTGGTGAATTTTCTGACAGTATATACGAGCTGACTGTCTTTATCATCGAAAATCCATATACTTTCACTGAATGAACATTCAAACAATGCCAGTTAAGTAGGATGAGTGAACTAGGGTAGATCCAACAACATACAAAGAAACATATATAACATAAACAATAAGTATAAATATAAATATACTTGAGACTATTCCAACAAACATCCTACAGATGGTGCCCAACTGCAAAATTCACAACTTTATACAAAACCAAACACAAAAACCCTGTCAACAAAACATATGTGATGATGCTCAGAGAGCCTGCACAAGCTACTGGATGTGCTATACTGAATGCGCCTAAGCTTCACAGGTGGCTGCTTTTTTTTCTAGTGCCAAGATTACAGACAAGACTATCTCATGCGCCTATGCTGCCGAGCCAGAAGAAGAGGGGGAACTGCACGATGGCCATGAAGAGCAGGAAGTAGTGCTGCCGCGTCGAGTGCCTCTCGCTGCCCCGCATCTCCGTGAAGATGACCCGCTTCATCGTCCTCACCAGGAAGATCCCCATGCACAGGCTCATCCACGGCATCATCACGTAGTATGAGTAGGCCCACAGGAGCCGGGCGACGATGGCCAGGGAGAGCCCCGCAAACAGGTACCCGCTGTAGGCTACCAGGTCGAGCAGCGGCACCTCGCCACCGCCCATCGAGTAGAGGAGGCCTTTTAAGAAGACAATCTGTAGGCCCCATCCGATCAGCCCTCTTGTGAACTGGAGGTTTATGGCTTCTGGAGTGAACCTGCATATCGATATCAAGTGCGTCAGGAACCCCAGGTTTGAAGTGTCACTGTTTCGCGTGGCTGGAGAAGGTAAGAAGAAAACTCACTTCCCCATGAAGCCTAGTGTGAAGCCTGCGAGAATAATGAAGGTGCCGAACGCCATGAAAGGGATGTACAGATCTGGCGCATTTATGTCGTACATTGGAGGTTTGTATGACAAACGGCCACCAACAGGCTCACTTATCCGAGTCCAGTGCCCCTGAAATGCCATTGCAACCATTTGATTTCAGTACACCAGATATATAGACAGACGAACCCAATACATATCCAGTGTAGATGGGAAATACAAACATACCCTGTGAAGGAACGGGAACAGTATGACTTTCAACTTGTTCCTGACATACTGATCATTCACATGGAAGTAGTACTGTGGGTTGGAGAAGTATCTACTGATCTGCAAGAGTAGAGCCAATAAATAATTTAGAGATAGTACGTGAATGATTTGAAACACCAGGGGGATCAAGGTTCTTTGGAGGCTCCTTACATTGCTCTGCATGAATTCTGAACTGGAGCCGAAGAACTTCTCCCCATATACTCCTAACCCAGTTTTAATCAGACCCGAGCTTGCGCCATACAATGGGTTGTCATAGGGACCAGGCTGAGGGTTTGGTGGGGGCATCTGCATCCCGGGAGGATGAGGATTTCTATAGTTATCATACATGGCTGCAAAGAAGAAGCGGAGTTATAATAAATCCAATGCAAATTGATAAATGGATATTGACATATGCACGGTGGCCGTAGAAAATTAACTGAAGTAAAATGCCAACACAGCATTATTAAATTAAAGCATAACGTAAGGTGCAACCGTGCAAAACCAACAGGTACGTGCATGATAAGACAAGGGGGGACAGAGAACTCCACTGGTACAAGAGCTACCCGACTCACTGGGAGTAGGGAAGCAAGCTAGTCACAGAGGAGGATTAGCTAACCGTTTTCCGGTTATTGATTGTATGTATATGACTAAAGATGTGGAAATAGCAAGCAGTTGAGTTGGTAAAGGATATGCAAGCTCAGAACCATCATTCCTAGATTTGAGTTTGAGTAGTACACCTAGCCTAGCTAGCATTATGTTGTTTTCTTTCTTTGCGTCTGCTGCTAAATACATAGTACATACATACATACACATGGTACAAGTCTGAATATCTATCTAATTCTGCAAGCACCGTGAGTAACTGTCATGAAACAACAGGGGCAAGAAGATTATCCTCTAGTCTGGCTTGTTAAGGACAAGTGCATCCAACCATAAATTATCTCAAGTTTTGACTAGTAGTACACTAACATCCGTCTTTACGGGCAAGAATAAGCAGGAGCAATAATAATAAATCAACCAAGCATATTATGTCAAGATGAGGGAGGCATACAATCAACTGGACTGGGAAAAAGGAAAAAACATGGTATCACCATAATAATAATAAAGATTGTCGTAAGCAGAGCAGTTGAACAAGATTTGGGGTGCTCGTTTTGCCCTGTCTTCCATTCCGTGGTGCTGGTTCCACATCAACCAACCGCCCCGGCTTCCATTCCATGGGGATGGGGCACAGCACAGAAGAAGAGAGTGTCACGGAACAAGATCCTGGAGCCTCATTTAGGCGTGTCTGTGGTGTGGTGTGGTGTTCCATAGCAACCTGGGCTGGGCTGAATTTGGCCAGGAAAGGAAATGTGGGATATTAAGTAGCACTTGTGTTTGCGTGGTGAATTTTGTGGAGCACATAGTACATAATAATCTATACTGCTCTCTGCATCTACCCAGAGGAAAGGAAATCGGCTAGAAGAGAAGAGAAGAGAAGAAGAAGAGGCAAAATCTGTATGTGCTCTAATAAAGTGTGCAGCAGATTGGATCCAACCTAACAAGGCAGAGGCACTAATAGTAATAATAATAATACTGGTTAACCAGATGGAGGGGGAACAAAGAATCGTCGACGGACAAGGAAAGAAATACCCGAAATCCAATCCAATCCAATCCAATCGCTGCAATCGACGAGGTACCGGCAGCAGGTAACAGGGGCGGGCAAAATCGCAGGCTAAGAAGGTCGTATTATTTATTTATTTATGATGAGATCTATCTGCGGACGGACGGGCGGCCGTAACTTTCGGATCCAATTCGCGCACGGCAAGCAAAGCAAAGGGGGAATCGGAAATAGGACAAGGGCGAGACGAACGGCGAGACTTACTCTTCACTTCCTCTGGCGACCTTGGAACGGCGCTCGGGCGGGCGGTGAGGAGGAGGAGGCGGCGGCTGCCGGCGAGAAGAAGCGATGTGGACAGAGGAGGCGGTGGGAAAGGAAGGAAGGGGACACGCAGACGCGGACCTCCAAACCAAACCAAGGAGAGGGAGGGAGGAAAAAGGAGCCCACTTTGCTTACTTGCTTTACTTTACTTGGATTGGAACACGCCCTCCTTTTGTTTGAGTTTGAATTTGAATTGAACCAAATCTCTCTCGACCTACACTACTTGGGAGTTGGATTATTCATCGAGTTAGAACCCCCTTTTTTCATAAATAAAAATCCAACATGTCTTTTTTATACAATATGAATGAGATATTCATGCCAACACACCTAAATACAATACAATGCCAATGATGATTCGATGACAAGATCCTCATCAATATTCTCTTTATCTTCCATTATAATCATACACCAGAAACTTGTATTGGGATAGGATGCTTCAGAGATCCCAACTAAAATATTTAAGAAAACTAAATTATGCACAACACACAAATGGGAAATACACATCATCATAACTTTTTTTTTCATACTGTTAGCAAATTTATTATTGTTGAACAATGGATGTTTAAACCATATACAATTTCACTTGACTAAGTATACTAATTAAACTAAGTGATATATAAAAATAATGTTTTATATTATAATTTGATAAACTACATAAAAGTGTAAAACTTAATTTGATAAACTACATAAAAGTCTAAAAGTTTGGTATAAATAACCTGAAACTCCTACTCCCGCCCGCTCCGCTTCAGCACCATGGCGATCACCTTCTCGAGGGTGGTCGCCACTTGCTTGCGCACCAGGTAGCCGCGCACCAAAGCCGGAAACCGCACCACTGACTTCAACACGCGCCTTGCCTTCTTCGCCTAGAAGATCAAGACAGGGCATCAAGCTAGATTTGCATCATCTAAATCGTGTGCTCATCCCGTTTTGTTTTGTGTTTGTCACAGTCCCGCGGGTGCCGCTTCTTCGAGTTCCAGTCGGCGTACATCAGGAGGCTGTCCGTTCAGCAAATCTCCCGGGCTCAGGCGCAAGCTGGTCTGCCGCCACCATATCATGCTCACCCGACGGTCGCTAGTAACCAGCGAGCGCAAGCTGGTCATGTTTTAGTACTAGTGTAAATACTTTCGACGACGAATCTGATGTAACCGGTGCTTAGTGTATGAAAGAATTGGGACCCATGATGCCGTACTTAAATATGATGGTCAATGTACCTAATTGTGCCATGCACATAGAAGATATTGACGCCCATGCACCATGCGCACACATACGTCTACCCCGTGGTCCTAGCGCACCCGATGCGTCCTGCGCTTGCCCATACACGAGCCAGTCGCATCCAGTTCACCATCGTGGCTTATTTGCCCTACACTACACCTTCCTAAGACGCGGTCAGAGTAAGCCACCGTCCTCGACGTCGGCGTCCACCACCATCGCATGCTCCGCCGTTGTCGCCTTCTTCAACTGCGGGCACTCCCGCTTGAAGTGGCAGCGCTCGCCGCACTTGTAGCAGCACCCGCGCCGGCTGTTGTCGAAGCCCGATGCGTTGTTGTGCACGTCGTCGTCGTCCCGAGCACCTCCCCACTGCCGATCCCGAGCACGCCACTGCGCCGCCGTGTACAGCAGCTGCCCGTCCGTGCGCTTGCCGCCCGCCTGCCCGCTGATGTCTACTACACAACCTTCTTCTTGTAGACGTTGTTGGACCTCCAAGTGCAGAGGTTTGTAGAACAGTAGCAAATTTCCCTCAAGTGGATGACCTAAGGTTTATCAATCCGTGGGAGGCGTAGGATGAAGATGGTCTCTCTCAAACAACCCTGTAACCAAATAATAAAGAGTCTCTTGTGTTCCCAACACACCCAATACAATGATAAATTGTATAGGTGCACTAGTTTGGCGAAGAGATGGTGATACAAGTGCAATATGGATAGTAGATATAGGTTTTTGTAATCTGAAATTATAAAAACAGCAAGGTAACTAATGATAAAAGTGAGTGTAAACAGTATTGCAATGGTAGGAAACAAGGCATATGGTTCATACTTTCACTAGTGCAAGTTCTCTCAACAATAATAACATAGATAGATCGTATAACAATCCCTCAACATGCAACAAAGAGTCACTTCAAAGCCACTAATAGCGGAGAACAAACGAAGAGATTATGGTAGGGTACGAAACCACCTCAAAGTTATCCTTTCTGTTCTATCTATTCAAGAGTCCGTAGTAAAATAACATGAAGCTATTCTTTTCGTTCAATCTATCATAGAGTTCATACTAGAATAACACCTTAAGATACAAATCAACCAAAACCCTAATGTCACCTAGATACTCCATTGTCACCTCAAGTATCCGTGGGCATGATTATACGATATGCATCACACAATCTCAGATTCATCTATTCAACCAACACAAAGTACTTCAAAGAGTGCCCAAAAGTTTCTACCGGAGAGTCAAGACGAAAACGTGTGCCAACCCCTATGCATAGGTTCATGGGCGGAACCCGCAAGTCGATCATCAAAACATACATCAAGTGGATTACGTGATATCTCATTGTCACCACAGATAAGCACGGCAAGACATACATCAAGTGTTCTCAAATCATTAAAGACTCAATCCGACAAGATAACTTCAAAGGGAAAACTCAATCCATTACAAGAGAGTAGAGGGGGAGAAACATCGTAAGATCCAACTATAATAGCAAAGTTCGTGATACATCAAGATCGTGCCATAGAGAGAACACGAGAGAGAGAGAGAGATCAAACACATAGCTACTGGTACATACCCTCAGCCCCGAGGGTGAACTACTCCCTCCTCGTCATGGAGAGCGCCGGGATGATGAAGATGGTCACCGGTGAGGGATCCCCCCTCCGGCAGGGTGCCGGAACAGGCTCCGGAGAAGTTTTTGGTGGCTACGGAGGCTTGCGGCGGCGGAACTCCCGAGCTATCTTTGTCTTTGATGGTTTTTGGGTATATGGGAATATATAGGCGAAAGAAGTCGGTCGAGGGAGGCTCGAGGGGCGCGCCCAGGGGGGTGGGCGCGCCCTCCTATCTCCTGGCCTCCTCGAAGCTTCCCTAGCTTGTACTCCAAGTCTCCCGGATCATGTTCATTCCAAAAATCACGCTCCCGAAGGTTTCATTCCGTTTGGACTTCGTTCGGTATTCCTTTTCTTCGAAACACTGAAATAGGCAATAAAACATCAATATGGGTTGGGCCTCCGGTTAATAGGTTAGTCCCAAAAGTAATATAAAAGTGTATAATAAAGCCCATAAACATTCAAAACAGATAATAATATAGCATGAATGCTTCATAAATTATAGATACGTTGGAGACGTATCACCCGCGCCGACGCAGCCGCTCGTCGAACGCCTTCAGGCGCCCCAGCGCGTCGTCGAACAACAGCGTCTCCAGGTTGCAGAACTGCTCCATCCCGGCGACCGCCGCGTA